TTTATTTATTCTTTTAATAACCTTTTTTTTTTTTTTTTTTTTGGCCTTCTTTCATTGTTATTCGTCCCTCTGAGGTTCTGGCTTTAGGACTCCTTGTAGTATTTTTTGGAGTGGGGGTTTAGTTGCAATGAAATTCCGGAGTTTCTGTTTGTCTGGGAAAGTCCATATTCTTTCTTCAAAGAGGAAGGAGAGCTTTGCGGGATAGAGTATTCTTGGTTGGCATCTGTTTTCTTGGAGTCTGTTGACTATGTCCCTCCACTCTCTCCTTGCCCGTAGTGTTTCTTCGGAGAAGTCTGATGTCAGCCTGATTGGCTTTCCTTTGAATGTTATCTGTTTCTTCCCTCTTGCCAGCTTCATTATTTTTTCCTTGTCCTGGATTCTTGGGAGCTTTACTATTATGTGTCTTGCTGTATTTTTCCTTTCGTCGTGGAAGTTTGGTGTTCTTCTTGCTTCTTGTATATCAATTTTCAGCTCCTCCTTCACATTTGGGAAGTTCTCTTCAATTATCTCTTTGAATATTTTCTCTGTTCCTACTTCTCTCTCCTCTCCTTCTGGTATTCCTATAACTCTTATATTTCCTTTCCTCATGGAGTCAGATAGTTCCCAAAGTCTTTCTTCATTCTTTTTCCTTCGTACTTCTCTTTCCTTTTCTGTTTTGGTTCTTTTTATTTCTGTGTCTTCAAGAGTACTTATTCGTTCTTCCATTTCATCTATTCTGCTTTCATTGCTTTTCCCAGAATTCTTTAGTTCTTCCATTAATTCTTTGATCTCCTGCATTTCTTTTACTTCCCTCTTTAGGGACTCAATTTCATTCTTCTGATCGTTGATTATTTTTCCCTTATCATTGTTTTCCTTTATGACTTCTGTCAGTTTTTTAATCACGGCAATTTTAAATTCTCTTTCTGGAAGGCTCAGAAGTTCTTCCAAGTTACTGTCGTTGCCATCTGGGGGCTGGTTTTCTTTTTGTGGTGTGCTTTTTCTCTGGAGAGTTGCTAGGTTGCGTGTGGTTCTTCTCCTCCCTACTGTCTGTTTTCTAATTTGCCGTATGCGTTGGGACACTGTGTAGTTGGGACTGGCCGGCATCTTGGGTGGGCTTCTCTGCTCCCCCCTGGTTCCTCCAGGAGTCATCTGTCAGTTTCAAGCAGTCTTTACTGGAGAAAGGTCCCTGTTCTAAAATGCCGATGTGGGGACACACTCCCCTGTGCGCCTGGTTTGCCCCGGCAGTGGGTTCCTGCTCCCCCTCTGGGCTTGGACTGCAGGCCAGAGGGGGTCTGGCGTGGGCGAACTTCCCCCGCTCACCTCTGGCTCCTGAGGAAGCCTTCTGCAGGTAGTCTTTACTGAAGAAATGTCCCTATTCTATAATGGTGATGTGGGACACACTCCCTGCGCGTCCGGTCTCAGGCACACTCTTCTGCGCGCTTGGTCTGCCCCGGCTTTGGGTGCTCGCTCTCCCTGTGGGCTCAGACTACTTGTTCGGAAGGGGCCCGGCGTGGGCTAACTCCCCAGCTGGCCACTAGCTGCTTCAGGAGCCTGTGCTGGCTTCAAGTCGCTAGGTGGCGCCAGAGATCTCTCCTGGAGCCCTTGGGGAGCTGATTTTCCACCCAGTGGGACAGGGAGCAGAGCAGGGATGGTAGGGTACACCTCAACGGCTTTGGGGTGCTGTGTCTGCCTTGTGCCCCACCGTCGTGGGGAACCCACGCCCCTAATTTCGTGCCCCGGGTCTCAGTTCCAAAGCCCTCAGTTCCAGGACGCGGGCTGTAGCCCAGATCAGTGGCGCGGGAATGGCGCCTTTTGAATCCCGCTCCCCTGCCTGGGCGCCTGGTTCCTGCTCACTCCGGGAGGGCCTCCGCGCGTCTCCCCGCAAGCCTAGGTCGTCTCCCCGCAAGCCTAGGTCGCAGGCGCGGGGACCTGGGCAGCTGCAATCCGATCCGCGCAATCCGCGCCGCTTTCCCCGCGCAATCCCGCTCCGCGTCTGTTTTTCCGGCGCGCCGCTTTCCGTGCAGGCTTACCGGGCGGCCGGGGCTGTGGGCTGGTGCTGGGCTCCTCCTGGGCGGGGCTCTCTTCAATGGCGCCCGGAGCTCACCTCCGCAGCGGATCCTGCGGGGGTTCTCCACAGCTCCCGTTCACAGGGTGTGGTGGCTGCAATAGTTCCTTTCCACTCACAGTCCCGCTTGCTGCGTCCTTTGTTCTTGTTGGCAGTTTTAGTTTGTTTCCCTCCTCTCTGCCCGTCGGAGAGTGCCGCCTCTGTGGGCGGGGGAGGGGAGCAGGGTTCTGCGCTTCCCTCCCTTCTGGTCCTCTTTTATGGCCACTTTCTTCTTCGGGCAGTTTGCTGGAGTCACCCGTTTATCTTCCGTGTCCCGGTTCTCACTGGGACCTGCCGCTTTTCCTCCCTATTAACTTTTTTTAATGGGAGATCTTACTCGCAGCGTCTCCTCGCCGCCATGTTGCTCCGCCCCCCTCCTCTTTTCTAGTTTTTTGAGCTGTGAGATTAGGTTGTTTCTTTGCGTTCTTTCTTGTTTCTTGATATGAGCCTGCATAGCTATATATTTTACTCTTTTTACTGCTTTTGCTGCATCCCATACATTTAGGAAATTGGTGTCCTCCTTGTCATTCAATTCAAAGAATTTTTTAATTTCTTCTTTGATCTTCTCATTAGTCCAGTAGTCTTCCAGTAGTGTGGGTTTCAATCTCCATGAGGTAGGAGAGCTCCTTGCCTTCTTTTTATGGTTTATTTCTAATTTGATGCCTTCCTGGTCAAAGAAGATGGTTGGTATGATTTCAATCTTGGTGTATCTGTTGATGTTTGTCTTGTGTCCCAGTATGTGACTGATTCTGGAGAATGATCCATGTGCACTTGAGAAAAATGTGTACTCAATTTTTTTGGTTTTAGTGTTCTATAGATGTCTGTTAAGCCCATGAACTCTAGATCCTTATTTAGAGGTTTAGCGTCCTTACTTATTTTTTGTCTCGTTGATCTATCCATTGTTGATAGTGGTGTATTGAAGTCTCCTACTACATATATGTTTTCTTTGATGTCTGTTTTCAGAGATGATAATAGTTGTCTGATATATTTTGGTGCCCCTTCGTTTGGTGAGTATATGTTAATGAGTGTTATTTCTTCTTGAAGTATTGTCCCCTTGATCATAATGTAGTGACCATCTGGGTCTCTTTTTACCTTTTTGAGTTTGAAATCTGTTTTATCTGATTTAAGTATAGCCTTATTTTTTGGTCCATTTGCTTGTAGGATTGTTTTCCATCCTTCTACTTTCAGTCCATTTTTATCTTTTGTAGTTAAGTGACTTTCCTGGAGACAGCAAAAGGTTGGGTTTTGTTTCTTAATCCAGCCTGTGACTCTGTGTCTTTTTATTGAAGAGTTTTAGTCCGTTTACATTTAGAGTTAATATTGATATGTTAGCATTTGTATTTGCCATTGTGTTTGTCTTTTTTCTGGTTTTATTTATTTGTTTGTTTGTTTGCTTGTTTATTTATTTATTTTTGTCTTGTTTCATTCTTATTCATCCCTCTGTTGGCTTTAGGACTCCTTGTAGTAGTTTTTGGAGTGGGGGTTTAGTTGTAATGAATTTCCGGAGTTTCTGTTTGTCTGGGAAGGTCCTTATTCTTTCTTCATAGAGGAAGGAAAGCTTTGTGGGATAGAGTATTCTTGGTTGGCATTTGTTGTCTTGGAGTCTGTTGATTATGTCCCTCCACTCTCTCCTTGCCTGTAGTGTTTCTTCGGAGAAGTCTGATGTCAGCCTGATCGGTTTTCCTTTGTATGTTATCTGTTTCTTCCCTCTTGTCAGCTTCATTATTTTTTTCTTGTCTTGGATTCTTGGGAGCTTTACTATTATGTGTCTTGATGTATTTTTCCTTTCATCATGGAAGTTTGGTGTTCTTGCTTCTTGTATGTCTATTTTCAGCTCCTTCTTCATGTTTGGGAAGTTCTCTTCAATTATTTCCTTCAATATTTTCTCTGTTCCTATGTATCTCTCCTCTCCTTCTGGGATTCCTATAACTCTTATATTTCCTTTCCTCATGGAGTCAGAAATCTTTCTTCATTATTTTTCATTTGTACTTCTCTTTCCTTTTCTGTTTTGGAGAGTGGATATTGGACAATGTCTGCCACGCATTCAGAATGCTGCATTTGGGGTTGATGTCAGAAAGTGGTGGTAAAGGGAGAGAGCAGAGAAATTGAGAGTTTTTCAGAGGCTTTCTAGTCATTTCCTCCCCCCCCCCCACTTCTCTCCCTTGCATAAATATGCACTGGGCATCTGTGTGCCAGGCTTACTGTCAGGCACCAGTGATCCAGCATCTTGATGATTCCTCTCCCTTCAGTTATAATTTAATGGGAGAAACAGACAGGGAAAATGATATAAATATTTATGGGTTTTTCTAGGAAGGACTTTAACAAGGCACTATGATTGAGATACTGGGTAAAGGCTGGAAAATGATGTTACTTATTTATCTAGGGATGAGCAGGAAACAGCCTGTGGATATCTGGGGGAGCTATCAGGCAAGGGGGAACAGCAGGTGGAAGGGCCCTCGAGGTTAGCAAAGGGTCTACCACTGCTGGATGGAGAACATGATGAGGATGACAGGAAGCAGAGACGGCCAACCTCTATAGACCAAAGCAGACACATCCAGCACATCAACAAAAAGAAATATAAAAACCATATGATAATATCAATAGATGCTGAGAAAGCTTTCAACAAAGTACAACACCCATTTATGATAAAGGCCCTTGAAATTCTCGGGATACAAAGATCCAACCCTTTGGGGGTTTTGCCCTTTTCTTTCTACTAGAGCATATCCTGGGCTTTGCTCCCTCAGAGCCTGTGAGAGGCTCACCTTGTCTTTGCCCCCGCCCTGTCCATGACTGTAGACCTCCCAGCACTGGACTGTCTGTACCCAGGTCCGAAGGTTAGAGTGACTAGAGGCTGCCCTTGGTACCCTCACTAGTGCCCCTAGCCTTACCAATCCCCTTCTCTCACTTTGTTTTTCAGCTGCAGGGAAACCCAAGGCCCAGAAGCTCAAGTGCTCATACTGTGACAAGTCATTCACCAAAAACTTTGACCTGCAGCAGCATATCCGAAGGTATACCGGCTTGGTGGGGTCGTGGCTCCTGGGCAACCCAGGCTGGGCACCAGTGTTCAAAATGGAGACAAAACTCCCTTCCGATCCCCTAGCCTGTTGGTGACCCAGGCCTATCCAATCTGTCACAGTTTTCAGGCCTTCAGTCCAGGTTGGTGGAGTTTCCCCTCTGCTCTCAGGAGCAGTGGAGGATCCGTGAAGTCTGAGGGGCCTGTAATGAGGGAGGTCCAGTCGCAGCAAAGTCGGGGGAAGAAATGTCCTTGAACCAATAGGGACTTTGCAGGCATGAGGACATACTCGGTCCTCACCTCTGCAGAAAGGGTTCACAGGGGCTGCCCTGCCCTATGAACAGAAGTAAGAGAGCTCTCTCCCTCCCAGAACTGTTGTAATACCTGTTGTCCAGGAGCAGGCATGGAGGTGTGGATTTGTTCACTGTTCCTCACAGAGTGGGATAAATTGGTACAGGAGATTGTAGGTGGTTCATGAATATGGTATTGAAAAATGCTGAGGACCTCCCCTGGTGGCGCAGGTGATTGAGCGCAGTGCTGTGAAGCTGTCCACAGCTTCTGCAGTGCGGGTTCGATCCCGGCCGACTGGCGAGATGCCCACATGGCATGGCAGACCTCTCCTGTCTCGCCCGCTGCTCCCTTCAGTAGTGTATTTCAGTCAGTCTGCCTGTTCTGTTCCCTGCTCTGTCTCTGGTGAATCTGCTTACCCTCCTGCACATCTGGCATGTGCTCCAGTTCTTGTATGCATGAATAAATAAATCTTTCTGGGAAAAAAATGTGAAAGACACAGTGAGAAAATTATACTTCTCATAACAAGAACATCTTGTTATGGACACTTCTTAATGCTGCTCACACATTTGCTTATCTTTATAACAGAGAGGAGAGAGAGCTAGCTCACACCAGGAGCCTCAGATTCAAACCTTGATCATTCAGGTAGTTGCTGCAGCCCAGTAGAATGTCTAGCAGCATTCCTGACCTTTAACCATCAGGTGCCAAATGTTTCATGGAGGGCAAAATCTATCTCATTTGGGGGCCACTGGTTGACACTAGTGCTGTCCAAGCAAAGATGCAAATGCCCAAATTGGCTCTATCCAAGAAACGGGCATGTGTAACCATGTATTGGGCACTAGAGCTGGGGCTAGCGTGACAGAGAAATTGAATTTTTAATTTTTTTTTTTAAAAGTCTGCATTTTTTTTTTTTCTAAGATTTATTTATTTATTTATTTATACAAGCACTGGGTACAGTCAGAAGCGCGGGAGGGTGAGAGAATTCACCAGAGCCAGAGCGGGGAGCAGAGCAGGCAGAGGGACCGGAGTACACTGCTGAGGGGAGCAGCGGGTGGCAGAAGAGGTCTGCGTGCCATGTGGGACCCTCCTCCGGTGGCCGGGGAGCAGCCGGGGATCGAACCAGCACCACAGAAGCTGCGGGCAGCTTTGCAACCCAGTGCTCAACCGCTACGCCACCAGGGAGGCCCTGAATTTTTAATTTTAATTTCTTTCTTTATTGGAAACTTTTTTTTTTTTTTTTTAAGATTTATTTATTTATTTATGCAAGCACTGGGTACAGTCAGAAGTGCGGGAGGGTGAGAGAATTCTCCAGAGCCAGAGCAGGGAACAGAACAGGCAGACCGACAAAATACACTGCTGAGGGGAGCAGTGGGCGCGGCAGGAGAGGTCTGTCACGCCATGTGGGACCCTCACCAGCGACTGGGGATCGAACCGGCACTGCAGAGGCTGCCAGCAGCTTTGCAGCCCAGCGCTCAACCACTGCACCACCAGGGGAGGCCCAGAAACTTGTTTTTTAATCAAAATAACTGGTTTATAACTACGTATGTTTCAGGTGTAGATCTTAATATTGTTTTATAAATTATTACTTTTTTTGTTTCTTTGTATTTGTTTTTTTAAAATATTTATATATATTTTACAGCATTGTTCATTTTTGTACAATATTTGCTTTCTCCTCTCAGGTGTAGTCACTGTAAAATTCCCACCACCAGTTCTGCCATGCACCATCACCATAGTCCCTTGTGCTCTTCCCTCCCATTGTTATCCTTCTTCCTCACCCTCCCCTGCAGAATGTCTCTGATTTATAGTTGCCTGTTAATTTATTTAAATTTATTATTATTTGGTTCCCCTATATTCCTCCTATACGTGAAACCATCTGATATTCTTCTTTTTCCTTCTGACTTATTTTGTTTCTTTGTATTTATAATAAGTGGTTTTCCATATACAATAACATGTATGAAGCTTTGCTGGTAAATTACTTTACATTTTGAAAAAGTGAGTCAATTTGAAGAGAAATACTAAATAAAGGGTCAGTGTCCTGTGCTGTGATGAGTAGGATTTCTCCTTCAAGTAATAGAAATTCCTGTTTGAATGAGCTTAAGCAATTAGGTGTCTTGTATCTCACAATATGGTATGTTCACAGAAAAGGTCAGCTCCAGGGCTACTTGATTCAGCTGCTTAGTAATATCACCACGCCTTTCTGCCCCTGGTCTGCCTGCCTCAGCAAGAAGGTTTGTCCTCATGGTATCAGAATGGTGGTCTGCAATGTCAGGGTGCTCTGTCTGGGCCTTCCTGGTAGCCGGGACCCCTGAGCTGAGGCCACATGCCAGTTCCTACACGTAATTGCTCATGAGACTTGCTTCCCACAGTCACACCGGTGAGAAGCCCTTCCAGTGCATTGCATGTGGCCGTGCCTTTGCCCAGAAGTCTAATGTCAAGAAACACATGCAGACCCACAAGGTGTGGCCTCCAGGACGCAGTGGTGGCACCGTTTCCCGAAACTCTGTAACAGTACAGGTCATGGCTCTGAACCCCAGCAGGCAAGAGGATGAAGAAAATACAGGTGGGTAGAAGTGGGGCGCACCATCCTCCCCACAACTCTCCTTTTCATGTTTTTTTTGCTAACTATATAATCTTGGACAACTGCTTTACCTCTCTGAACTTTAGTCTTTATAAGATGGGCATAGGATGAAAGGAAAGATGACAAACACACATTGTGGCATTGCTCTAATACTGTACCTGTGGCACCTCTTTTTTTTTCAATGTATCATTCCAGGCAGTCACAATCAGATGATAGTAAATTAAAGCCTATTTGACCCCAACAGAGGGCCGCCAAAGCCCATTATACTTTGTAGGAGTCTCATCTGAGCCATCGCTTATCCCTGAGCTTATGCTCCTATCCCTGGTATTGGTTTTATTCCACTCCTGCATGAGAGTTGAGGACTTACTAGGCCTAGAGCAGCACTGTCCAACAAAATATGTACAATTATATACAATATCAATAGCTATATAAAAATAGTAAAAATTAATTTTAATTATATATTTATTTAACCTAATATATTATTTTTAACACAGAAAGAAATTACTGATGAGATATTTTATATTCTATTATATACTGTTTTTGAAATTCAGAGCATATTTACATTTATAACACACCTGAATTCAGACTGGCCATATTTTGAGTTCTCAGATACCATATGTGGCTTGTAGCCACTCTTTTGGACATGGTAGTCCTGGGATCTTCCTGTGCAGCCCCAGAGTATGCAGTGCCAGCCAATGAAGGAGGGGTACAAGATACATATGACCCCTTTTGTATGACCTTCTTGTTGGAACTAGCCCTACTGTGTGCTTAGCCATCCTGTGTGTCTTTTGAGTTCTTGTGAGCTCCTTGGAGAAGAAATCATTTCTTTCAGAATTCCCAGGGTTTAACAGTTTAGCATAGGCTCATGGAGGCCTACTGTATGCTAAGCCCCTGGGCCTACAGAAACAAGGTCAGAGCCCCTGTCCTCAGGGAAGATACTTACACAAATGGTTGTAATTAGAACAAGGAGCTGGGGAGGCACAGTGAGTATAGGTAGGACTGATAGTCAGGATTATTTTTTTTAAGATTTATTTATTTATTTACACAAGCACTGGGTACAGTCAGAGGCATGGGAGGGTGAGAGAATTCACCAGAGCCAGAGCGGAGAGTAGAACAGGCAGAGTGATGAAGTATACTGCTAAAGGGAGCAGCAGGCGGCAGGAGAGGTCTGCATGCCATGTGGGACCCTCGCCTGGTGGCCGGGGATCGAACCGGTGCTGCAAAGGCTTCAGGCAGCTTCACAATCCAGCGCTCAACTGCTGTGCCACCGGGGAGGCCCGAGAGTCAGGATTTTTAACCACTACAGCGAGGTCCAGAGTGTCCAAGGGGAAGGCCAGGGAGGAGAGACTAGGTAATAACTGTTTATCCTTGGGATGTAAGTGTTTCAATACTTTGGTACCTGGAATGGCTGGATCAGTTCACACCAGCTGAATGTGGGTACAGTGCCTTACCTACGGTGTCCAACATGAAGCACGTGGTTGGGGTGGGTGGCCTTGTGGACCATGCAGAAGGTGCTCTGGGAATCCTTCCCGAGTGGTGTGGTTTTCTGCCCTGACTCTTCCTTTGCCTTTGGCAGTGACTTGCCTCCCTGGCTTTTTCCCTTTCCCCACAGGGTTGAGTCAGACCCTGTCGAGTGCCCCTCAGCCCCAGGCCTTGCCCACAGCAGGTGAGGATGAGGGGGACAAGCTGGAGACCAAGCAGGTCGTCCTCATCGATAGCTCCTACTTGTGCCAGTTCTGCCCCAGCAAGTTCAGTACGTACTTCCAGCTGAAGTCCCACATGACCCAGCATAAGAATGAGCAGGTAGGTGGGTGGTGGTCTGCAGGGGCCACAACCACTTATCATGAGCCTTGGCTGGTTCTGGGGTCTTGAACACTGCCTAGAATGGACAGGAATGAACTGAGGTCCATTCCTGAAATGTGTGGATAGTTATGTGTCATTTTGTCACCTGTGCAGATCTGCTTAGTCATCTCTGCTATCACAGTGCAGAGTATTCTCTCACCACAAAGATCTCCCTCATGCTGCCCCTTCATAGTCACACCCACCCTTCTTCTTCCAACACCCCTGACCCCTGGAAACTACTAATCAGTTCTATGTTTAATATCGTCCTTTTGAGAATGTTGTATAAGTGGAATCAGACACTATGTGGCCTTTTGAGATTCACTTTTTTTGCTCAGTTTAAATTCTCATGAGATCTGGCAACAAAACCCATGACTTTGGGGTTTTCTATTCTACTTGAGGAATAATTACTTACAGTTGATCATTTTTCTGTAAGTTAAATATGAACTTTAGAGAGTGGTTTCTACTCAATAGCAAATTGTCTAAACAAGCCATACTCCCCAGAAAGAGAGGTCCCTGGGCAGGCTTGTTAGAAGTTCTCAAAGTGACATTCCCGGACCAGCAGCTGCAGCATCACCTAGGCATTTGTTAGGAATGCACGTATTCAGGCCACCCATACCTGTTGAATCGGATACTATGAGGGTGGTGCCCAGCAACCTGTACTGTGACGCATGCTCAGGTTGGAGAGCCACACTCTGGTATGACAGCAGAAGGATGTGATGTCATCTTGTCACTGTCTTCCCAGTTGTGGGATAATTTTTCTCAATATGCCCAGGCCACACAGAGCCTGAGGGAAGGGTAATGAATGGAGTCATTATTACCCCAAGAGCCGAGGACACACTCATCAAAATAAAACCAGGGCTCCAGCAGCAAGTTGCTCTCCTAACTCTCCTGGCCTGTCCTGCATTTTCCCTCAAGGTATACAAATGTGTGGTCAAAAGCTGTGCCCAAACGTTCCCGAAGCTTGACACCTTTCTGGAGCACATCAAGAGCCACCAGGAGGAGCTGAGCTACCGCTGCCACCTCTGCGGCAAGGACTTCCCCTCGCTCTACGATCTTGGTGTGCACCAGTACTCCCACAGCCTCCTGCCACAGCACAGCCCCAAGAAGGACAGCACCGGCTACAAGTATGTGCACATACCCTCTGACACCCTTCTCTCTGCCAGGAGCCCAGTGATCTGCAGACTTGGTGCTCTGACTGCTCAGAAGCAGTGAGACACTGGACTAGTCAGAGCAGGCTGCTATGACAAAATACCATGGAGGCAACTCTCCTGCCCACCTGTGACTATGGAAGCGCCTCTCTTTTTCTCACTGTCCTTTCAAAAGGTTAAAAAAAAAAAAAAATACCCCGGAGGCATGATCTCTTCTTATAAGGGCACTAATCTTATTGTGAGGACTCTATCCTCATAAGTTCATCTAACCCTAATCACCTCCCAAAGGCTTCATCTCCAAATAGCTTCACACTACGGACCAGGGCTTCAGTAAATGAATTCTGGAAGGACACAGTTCAGCCCAAAGCAGTAGTGTTCTTCCCATTTTGAAGATGAGCACTCTGAGACTCAGGGAGGGGCCTTCCAGAGTACATCGTCAGCACAGAGTTGAGATTCAAACTAGTCTGAGACCTTTGAAGCTCAGCTCTGGTCTTGGGGTTTGCAGGCTAAGAGTTGGTCTCAATGCTGATGGTTCTAAGCCTGCAGTTGATTGCTTCTCCCATGTTTTCTTGCCAGGGCTAGAAGGCCAGTGGCCTTTTCTAGCCATTGTTGCTGCTGGCCTGAAAGTCAGGTCTGAGGAGGCAGGTCACCATCTGGATGGCCCAAGAATGGAAGGATGTCTTGGGGAATCGAACCACCTATGGGTGTGTGCCTGTGTGCAAATCCCAGCTCAGCTACACACCACAAACTCAACAGATGACTTTAGTAAGGTATTTAGCCACTCTGAGCCTCAGTCTCCTTGTCTGTGAAATGGGGATAATTGTGGTGCCTACTCTGTTGGACTATTTGTAAGGGTCAAGTAAGATGACCATGAGGCACTTAGACATGATGCTATAATTACTATTTGTGTAATTTAGATGTAAATTTGGCTGCATATAACAGAGATCCAGAATAATAGTGGCTTAAAAAAAGTGAGAGTGTATTTCTTTCTCATGGTAATGTTTGAGTGGGTGTAGTGGCTTCATTTTTCAGGACTCTAGGCCCCATTAGTCTGGCTGCTCTGCCCCTTTGGGCCACATTGCCTTGAACTGCCTTTTGGTGCCCCCCGCCTCCGCCAGCCACTCAAGTGAATTTCATGCATGCATACACATGTGTATATATGTATGTGTATAAATAGTATTTATTACCTTTTCCTTTTGAACGATTTACTGACTTTTTTTCTAGTTATAAAATTCATCCATATTTAATGCATAGAAAATAAATAACTTTTCAAAAACCTACCCCAGAATAAAAAACCCTGCCATCTAAAAATAACCCTTGTTAGTCTCTTATTCCATGTCTTTTGGTATATATATGTGTATCTGTAATAAGCTTATAGATGTAAATATCACATGCTGTATTTGAGCCAGGTCATTCCAGATATCCTGTCTCCCCCATCAACCTGGAAGATCTCTGTCCTCTGGTAGCTCTGCTCCTACCCAATCTCCTTCTTTTCTCTGAATTGGGTGAAAATTGATCATCACCCCATTTTCCTGTTGCACAACTTCCAAAGCTCACTGAAACTTAATAGGATTGCCCTAGGACCTCGCTGGTGGTGCTAGGGGTTAAGTCGCAGCATTATGAAGCTGTCTGCAGCTGCTGCAGCACAAGTTCAATCCCCGGCCTGCCAGGGTGCTAACCCACATGGCACAGCATACCTCTCCTGTCTTGCCTGCTGCTGCCTTAAGCAGTATATTTCTGTCAGTCTGCCTGTTCTGCTCCCCGCTCTGTTTCTGGTAAATCCTCTCACCCTCCGAACTTCTAGCCTGTACCCCAGTTCTTGTATGCATAAATAAATAAGTCTTTAAAAAAGAAAAAAAAAGGGCCTCCCCAGTGGCACAGTGGTTGAGTGCTGGGTTACAAAGCTGCCCGCAGCCTCTGCAGCACTGGTTCGATCCCTGGCTGCCGGGCAAGAGTCCCATATGGCACACAGACCTCTCCTGCCGCCTGCTGCTTCCCTCAGCAGTGTACTTCGTCTGTCTGCCTGTTCTGCTCCCTGCTCTGGCTCTGGTGAATTCTCTCACCCTCCTGCGCTTCTGACTGTACCCATTGCTTGTATAAATAAATAAATAAATCTTTTAAAAAAATAGGATTGCTCTAGGCACTTGGTATCACCACTGAAAACTGTAATTTGGACATCTTTGCATTTCAGTGCTAACAGACCAGGCTCATCCTTTTAAATTGCTATTCCGAATTCTGTCATATGCGACTGCTGTTTAACCTGTCCTTTATTTTGGGAGAGTTGGATTATTGCCAGTTTGTCATTATTACAAACAATTATGCTGCAGGAATCACTTTGGACGTGTATGTTTGCTCATTTGTAAATAAGTTCCTGAAAGCAATTTTGCTGTTGAAGATCAAATGGTGTTTGAATAAACATTAGTTACCTAATTCAAAAAATAATTGTTATGTGCATACAATGCAATATTTATTTTTAATTTTTTTAACACCTTTGCTTAAACTTTATTCTTTTTTTTTATTTATTTATTTTTTAAAGATTTATTCATTTGTTGATGCAAGAACCCGGGTACAGGCCAGATGCATGGGAGGGTGAGAGGATTCACCAGAGACAGAGCGGGGAATAGAACAGGCAGACTGAAGAAATACACTGCTGAGGGGAGCAGCGGGTGAGACAGGAGAGGTCTGCTCGCCATGTGGGACCCTCACAGGCCTGCCAGGACAGCTTCACAGCGCTGCGCTTAACCACCTGCTCCACCAGGGGAGGCCCTACAGTACAATATTTAAATAACTACAAGGGATCGTAGAATGAACAGACATTCCCTGTGCACCCTGACCCATAGGCTTTCAGAAGCCTCTTTAAACTTTGACATAAGTTTAGACTTCACCCAGATTTCCTAAGTGTTGACTTTGACGATGTTTGCTTTATTGTGTCCTGAGCTGTATGAGGATACCTTGCCAACCTGATGCCTTTCTCTTTGGTGTGTGTTTTCTCGAACCAAAGATACCTACATAAGCATGATGTAGTTATCAAAATCAGAAAGTTAAATCAATACAATTCTGTTGTCTAATCTACAGACCTTATTCAAACATCTCTAATTGTTTCCATAACATCCTTTACAGACAAAAGAGAAAAGTCTTTTCTAGCCCCAAATCTAATCCAGGGACACACATTACATTCAGTTATTGTGTCCCTTTCATCAGGCTGAATATGTGCCTCATTCTGTCTTTGTCTTTCTTGAACCTGGTATTTTGAAAGCTTGCAGGCCAGTTGTTTTGTAGAATGGCCTTAGTTTGTCTGATTGGATCTCAGGACTGGATTCAGGATTAGCACTCTCATCAGGAACATCACAAAGGACTCTGTCCTTCTCAATATGTCACATTAGGAGGTCGGACATAGTTTATCCATTGCTGAGGTGTTACCTTGCGCAACTTAGCATTTCTTAGCATTTCTAGCATTATCATTAATGATAATTGATAAACTATCTCCCATACAAACCTTTGTCTCCTCTCTGCTGAGACCTATGAGGGATTCTTGTGTTGTCCCACCCCACCAGCCTGCGAGGTCTCAGCCTCTTAGTAGCTCAGCTCCCCACCCACCTCCTCTTTCTTGCTAACTCAAAACACTGATACAGCCTGTGGTTTTCAGTGTATTGTCTAAGACAGTCCCCTGGGCCTGCCACAGGGACACCTGCCTCTGAGTTTCCCATGGGTGACTCTAGTGGGCAGATGGCAGGTCCATGTTTCTCTTGTCATGAATTGCCCCCCTCATTCCTCACTGGTAATTCATCATAAAAGGGTCCATTTGCTGGCAGGTGTTTTGGTGGTAGGGAGATGGTGGGGTGTGTTTTTCCTTCAGAATAGTTTGGAACCTGAAACTGCTGTTCTGAAGTTAGGTTAATTGCTGTGATGTATGTTAACAGTAAGGGCCATGTTTACAGAATTTTACGGTTTATGAACTCTGTGGCATAGTTGTATCATTTGACTTTTTTTTTAAATGATACTTATTGAGGTAATGTTGATTTATGAGACTGTATCCTTTAGGTGTATAGGTTTGCATGTCTGCAAATGTATGTTATCACACCATGCCCACCACCAGAGCACTAATAATCCTCCACCCCCGTCCACTGAGTTCCCTCCATCTTTACTGTCAATCCCCACCCCCATCCCACCTTTTGGTAGCCTCAGTTCTGCAGTTGCATTTTAGGGGTTTGTTTTTGTATGCAAATTTGCTTTGTTTTATGTTCCACATATAAGTGAAGTCATCTGGTATTTGCCTTTCTCTGTCTGACTTACTTTTTTTAGATAATCCCTTCCAATTCTATTCATATTGTTTCAAATGGCAAAATTTGTTCTTTTTTCATAGCTAAATAATATTCTGTTGTATATACGTACCATATCTTCTTTATGCGCTCATCTGTCTTTGGCCACTTAGGTTATTTCCATAGTTTGATTATTGTAAATAGTGCTGCAGTAAACAGAGACGTGCATATATCTCTTTGAAATAGTGCTTTTGTGTCCATTTGGTTGATACCTAGGAGAGGGATTGCTGGATCACATGGCAGATCTGCTTTTAATTGTCTTGAGATGCCTCCATACTGTTTTTCGTAGTCTGGACTAGTCTATATTCCCACCAACCCCTGTTATTTCTGGCCTCACAGGTGTGAGGTGATAGTTCATTGTGGTTTTGATTTGCATCTCCCTGATAATAAATGATGATGAGCATTGTTTCATGTGCCTGTTGGCCATCTGTATGTCTTCTATAGAGAAGTTTCTATTTACATCTTCAGTCCATTTTTGATCGGGTTGTTTTGTTTTTGTTGAGTTGCATGAGCTCTTTGTAGAGCTTGGATATCAGCCCCTTGTCGGATATATAATATGCAAAATTTTCTCCCATTCAGTAGGGTGTCTTTTTGTTTTAATGATAGTTTCTTTTGCTTTGTGCAGAAGCTTTTTGGTTTGATATAGTCCCATTTGTTTATTTTTACTTTTGTTTGCATTGCTGTTGGAGTCAAGTCCCCAAAGACTTCACTGAAGCCAATACATCAAAGTGTTTTGCCTGTGTTTTCTTCTGTGTGTTTTATGGTTTCAGGTCTTACACCCTAATCTTTGACCCATTTTTGCATTTTTTTAATTTATTTTATTTATTTATGCATGCAAGAGCTGGGATGTAGGCCAGAGTACAGGGTAGGTGAGAGGATTCACCAGAGACAGAGTGGGGAGCAGAACAGGCAGATCCACTGAAATACACTGCTGAGGGCAGCAGCAGGCAAGTCAAGAGAGGTCTGCTATGCCACGTGGGTCACCTCCCTGGCCAGGGATCTAACTTGTGCTGCAGTGGCTATGGATAGCCTCATAGTGCTGCATCTTGATCCGTTGCACCACCAGGGAGGCCCCATGTCTCTTATTTCTTTTAACAATATCTTACCATTTTCATTGTATAGGTCTCTCACCTTCTTTGTTAAATTTATTCCTAGGTACTTTTTGATAGTTCATTATTTGCATATGAGAATGCAACAGCCTTTTTTTTTTAATAATATTTATTATTCATACATACAAGAACCAGGATACAGGTCAGACATGTGGGAGGGTGAGAGAATTCACCAGAGACAGAGCGGGGAACAGAATAGGCAGACTGACTGAAATATACTGCTGAGGGGAGCAGCGGGCGAGTCAGGAGAGGTCTGCTCCGCCGCAACAGACTTTTGTATATTGATTTTGTAGTTGTGTCATTAGACTCTGTGACAAAATTAGTGAATGAACTAGTGACAGGTACATTTAGGATTCCTACCCCATTTTATGAATGAGGTAACTGAGGGTCAGAAATGGGAAGAAGCCAGGCCTGGATTCTTGCCTGTCTGACTCTTTTCATGTAAGAGAGTCTCACCGGTATTCAGCTCAGAGTAGATATTGTCCCTGCCACCAGAGCCTACCTGCTAGTAGAGGAAATAGATAATAATCAAGTAAGCAAATAAACAATTCCAGATAATAAGTGCTAAGGAGAAAATAAAACTGTGTGATATAACAGGGAGTGACCAGGGCATGGGGCCCCAAGGGATAACTTGAGACAAGGGTGGTCAGGAGGGACCCTCTGAGAAGGTGACCTTTGAGATGAGACATCAAGGATGAGGAAGTGTGACCTAGGGGATGAGTGTTCAGGTGTCAGGAGCAGCAAGTGCAAAGGCCATGAGGTGGGAATGAGCTTGGTATTTAAAGTGCATTAAGGAGGCCAGGGTAAGTGAGGTAGGCAGTGGAGAAAGATCAAGTCTGAGAGATGGGAATGGATCAGGCCAGCAGGGCCTTATAGGCCAAGGTGGTGACTTTTAAGTAAGAGTGTGACACAGTCTGATTTTCATCTTTAAAGTTTCTCTCTTGCTCCTCTATAGAGAATGGACTACAGGAGGCAGTGGGGCAAGGAGGCCACTGAGGAGCCTGGCACACACACACATGTCTAAGTGAGAGAGCCATTGGCAGCTCACACTGGGGCAGGGTCAGTAGCAAGTGAGGAGAATGGATGAATTTGAGAATGACGTAAATATAGAGTTACGCTTCCTAATGTTGGCCCTGGGTGAGGGGAGTGGCTGGTTCCTATACTTGCTGAACAAGCCAAGTTTCACACACTCTGTCTCCTGTCCTGCTCCTTCCCATTTAGGTGTGTCAAATGTGTTAACAAATATTCCACCCCTGAAGCCCTGGAGCACCACCTGCAGACTGCCACTCACAACTTTCCCTGCCCACATTGCCAAAAGGTGGGTACTACTGACCTTTCCTGGCTGGGGTGACAGTAGGGGACAAGGAGGTGGTGGAGTGATCGCCTTCCTCTCTCCCCCCCACCTATCTCAGTCCATATGGTGCATGCAGACAAAGCATGGGGTTGTCTCCATTGATGACGCTTCACCTTTGAAGAGTCAGCTCTACCTGCCGGTCTCACCCACCAGACACAGACATGGCCATCCAGGGCTGCTGCCGGGCCAGGCTGCACTGACATGAGGTCTCCTGGGCTCAGGCCCAGTGTCTGGTAGACAACTCAGATATCTTACTGTCCTTACTAATATTGATTCTTCTTTTCAGCGGATCTGGAAGCTGTCCCTTAATATCACTAAATATCCAGGCAGTGTTCCAATTTCCAGTTGTCTCAGAAACATCATCACTTTATAAAGTCTGTTTATTTGAATCAGGTCCATATATGGCAATCAGTTGATCCAACCAAAGTTTCTGTTAATCTACAGATTTCCCTACCACAGCCCCACCCGCCCCCCCATTTTCTTTTCCCCCCTAATTTATTTCTTAGAGAAACTGGGCCATGAGGCCTGTGGAATTTCCTAAAGTCTGAATTTTGCTGATTGCCTCCCCCTGGTGTGTTTAACTGATTTCTTTGCTCTACTCATTTTCTTACAACCTTACATGGTAGACTTTCAAGGACAGCCCTGGTTTCATTTCAACTTCATTGTAGATGTTTCTAATTATGAATAAGCCTAATTTGGGGATTTGAAATTTGTGGTCCAAATAAAAGTTATCACGAATTGAGCAAGAACTATGCTATTCTAAGCATTTTATATTAATTGACTCTTTTAACCCTCGGAGGTAGGCATTCTTTTACCTTCCTCATTTTATAGATGGGGAAACCAAGGCACAGAAAGCTCACCCGGGAAGGAAATGGAGCAGGTGGGTCTGTGCCCTTGACTACTTCTCTGTATTGAATGAAAAAAATAAATGAATGTCCTTGCTGTACTGGGGAGGAAGGAGATTTTACTGTGTTTTCTGGCTTCTTAATTGCCTTTCTTTTTATTTCTTCAGTTATTTGTTCTTTATTTTCTCTTTTTGTTATTCAATCCTTTACTGATCAGACATTTGATTCAGACCCTGAGTCAGGAAAACCCCTTTCTGTCCTCTCAGAGAGCCTGTCTAAACAAAATGATGTTATTCAGTGGGTTAAATGATGGCTCTTAAAATGTGGGTGAACATACAAAGCCAGAATTTGCTTTGCCTGATGTGCATTGGGGGGTCAGGGAGGGCCTCATGGAAGCAGCTGCATTAGGTCCTGAAGAATGAGTAGGGATTCTTCAGGCTAGGAGAGAAAGACCCTCTGGGTAGAAAACAACAACCTGGACTGAGGCTCAAAGCAAGAATGATTTGACTGGGTTTATGGGTAAGTAGGGGAACTGGAAGGTTCTAAGGACTGAGTCTGACATTGTGGACCCTCATCCCTGCTGGCTGGAAAAGAAGGGGTTTCCATAAAGGCTGGAAAGGAGGGGCCTCTGGAGGTCAGAAGATGGTGAGGGCTGGTAAGTCAGCTCTGACTCTAAGGTTGCTCTTCTGCCAGGTGTTTCCTTGTGAACGCTATCTGCGGCGTCACCTGCCCACCCACGGCAGCGGGGGCAGATTCAAGTGCCAGGTGTGCAAGAAGTTCTTCCGGCGAGAGCACTACCTCAAACTGCATGCTCACATCCACTCAGGTGGGTACCCTGCCTCCCACCAACTCCTGCCTTGCCCTTTTCTTTCTCCTACCTCCTTCTCTCTTCCTCTTTCCACCCGCCCCACATATCCATCTTGAACTCCCCGTACCCACCTGTTCCCTCTTCTGACCAGAGGTTCCCACCAGCCTAGAGCAGAGATAAGCCTCTGGAATTTGCTGGGGGCGAGGGATAGGGGAGGACTCTTGGCACTGGCCACCTGAGAGTCAGCCCCCTCAAACTATTCTAAGCTCCTGGAGGTGGGGATGGCTATACTCACTGCAAAAATTTTCACCCAAACTGAATAAAACCTCTTCTTGATTCTCCAATTGAGAAACATTGATATTTTGTTTTGTTTAATCTTTAGATGATTTGTCACTAGTTTAAAAATTCCAGTGTTTTATTTTTTAATTGAAAAAGATCTACAGATTGAGAGAACCTGAGGAGATTTTGACAGTACAAATGCACAGATAATGAAAAATAATAGACAATCCAAATGTTTTTTATTTTTTTACTATGACTTAGGGTAAAAAAGAAGAAACTAGGGAACCCAGGAAACATGTATACATAGAATATATTGAAGCAAAAGTTTTACAAAGCAGTAGTTTCTGTTCAGTTCAATTTTAGTTTTTAAAATAACCACCAACAGATTGTGACTCGCAATTTGTAGTTTGAAAAATATTCCTAATTCACCCTCCCCAAGGTAGCATGCATTAGTGGCCTAGTCTGGGTCACTCTAGTCCCAAGCTAGTACAAGCTAGTACAAAACACGTGCTTACATTTATACAAATGAGTACAGACTGTCATTCTGTTATGTATCTTTTTTTTCCTTCACTAATCAACATGCCAAAATGTTAGTACTTTTTCCCAGCTGCATAATATTCCTCTGTGTTTTCACTTTTAATTTAACCAGTTCCCTATGGATAGACAGTTAAATTATTTTTCAGTGTTAGTGTGTACACACAATGCTGTGTGGATCCCTTGGAAAACTGTGGGAAGTATATCTGCTGTGTATGTCCTTAGCAGTACTAAGTTTGGGACGCTGAAAAAGTTCTGAAAATGGATAATGGCAAGGGTTGCACAACAAATGTATTTAATGCTACTGAATTGTACACTTACAGATGGTTGAAATGGTAAATTTTATGTGTATTTTACCATATAAAAGAACAAAATATGGGGCCTCCCTGGTGGCATAGTGGTTAAGTCTCAGTTCTGTCATGCTGTCACTGCTACAGCCTGAGTTCGATCCTGGCCAGGGAGCTGACCCACATATGGCACAGCAGCTCTCTCCTGTCTTGCCAGTTGCTCCCCTTAGCAGTATATTTCAGTAGATCAGCCTGTTTTGCGCCCCACTCTGTCTCTGGTGGATCCTCTCACCCCCTGCACCTCTAGCCTATACCCCAGTTCTTATATGCATAAATAAATAAAAAATAAATCTTGAAAAAAACTAAAATATATATTATATATACATTTTATTTTTTAAAGGTTTATTTATTTATTCATTCATTCATTCATTTATACAAGCACTGGGTACAGTCAGAAGCGCGGGAGGGTGAGAGAATTCACCAGAGCCAAGGCGGGGAGCAGAGCAGGCAGAAGGACTGAAATACACTGCTAAGGGGAGCAGCGGGCGGCAGGAGAGGTCTGCGCGCCATGTGGGACCCTCCTCCAGTGGTCAGGGAGCAGCCGAGGATCCAACCGGCACTGCAGAGGCTGTGGGCAGCTTCGCAACCCAGCGCTCAACTGCTGCGCCACCGGGGAGGCCCTACATTTTATTTTTTTCAAAGATTAGTTAAGCACACAAGAACTGGGGTACAGGCCAGAGATGTGGGGGTGTGAGAGGCTTCACCAGAGACAGAGTGAGGAGCAGAACAGGCGGATGTACTGAAATACACTGCTGAGGGGAGCAGTGGGCGAGACAGGAGAGGTCTGCTGTGCCATGTGGGTAGCTCCCTGGCCGGGGATTGAACTCATGCTGCAGAGGCTGCGGATAGCTTCATAGGTTGTGTTTTAACCCCTTGCACCACCAGGGAGGCCCTATATACATTTAATTTTGATAGATATTACCAAATTTACTTTCAATAAGATTTTTAAAAATAAGTAATGCTTATTATAAAAATGGAAGCAGGGCCTCCCCGGTGGCGCATTGGTTGAGCGCTGGGTTGCAAAGCTGCCTGCAGCCTCTGCAGCACCGGTTCGTACCCCGGCTGCTCCCCGGCCCGGAGGAGGGTCCCACATGGTGCGACAGACCTCTCCTGCCGCCTGCTGCTCCCCTCAGCAGTGTACTTCGGTCCTTCTGCCTGCTCTGCTCCCCGCTCTGGCTCTGGTGAATTCTCTCACCCTCCCGTGCTTCTGACTGTGCCCAGTGCTTGTATAAATAAATAAATAAATCTTTAAAAAAAAATAAAATAAAATTCTACTACCAACTCACTATAAAAAAAATAAATAAAAAAAATAAATAAAAATGGAAGCAGTATAGAAATACATGAAGAAAAATCTTCCCCTTAATTGCTGCTGGCGATTTGATGTGTACTGTTCCTGCACCTTTCTCCCTACATACTCTGTATATATAAACACCTATGACTAGGGTTTTTTGGAGTGTGGGGATTATTTTTTTTTAGGGCTGTATTAAACTGTTCTACAATTTTCTTTTCCCCTAGCAATATGTCCAGATCTTTCCACATCATAAAACACAGATTGATCTTAATCTGTTCAGTGGCCACAGAGCATTCCATTGTAAGAACCAGAATTTCTTTAATCACTGGATTAGCGTTTTTCAGAAATACATTCCAGGAGGAAAACAGAGAGGAAATAATGGCAAGAAATCAAAGCATTTCATTAATAGTCCTTTTCCAAAGGGCAGGTTGAATTGTGACCCCTTGGCCCCTGAGCTCTGTCAGGTGAGATCTGTTCTCTTTCCCCACCCCAATCCACCCTGGAAGAGTTTAGCCACAGGATGGTCTGGGCTGACTCAGGTGGGCTGTAGATTGCCCTGCTTGGCTGGAATTTGGTCTTCCCCCAGTTATGGACCATGAACTATAGGACCAGTTTTTTATCTATAAAATAGGGGTTGTGGTAGCACTTATCTCATGGTTTGTTGCACGGATTCAATTAATTAAAGTGTAATCCACCCCCTCTATGGTGGACCCCGTTGATGTAAGTGCCATGACCACTCATTGAGTCACTTGCCCCATACCTTAGATTAGTCCTTGACCCCTCCTTTCCTCCCACACCTGACAGGACAGCCAGTCACTGTCAGGGTTACCCATTCTGCTTTCCGGACATCGCCTGTACTCCACCACTTCCTGTTTCTTGTATTGGCCTCCTTCCTGCCGCCACTCCCCTCATCTCAGCCTGTTCTTCACACGCAGCCAGAGGATGCCTATCAGACTCTTCAGTCAGACCCTCTCCCGCCTCTGCTCTGCCCCTTCTGGTTTCTTAATTGGCTCAATAAAAGCCCAAGTCCTTACCTTGGCCTTCTGGGCCCTCCCTATTGGGCCTGGCTGCCTCACTGACCTCACCTTCTGCCTCATCCTCCACAGTGGCCTCCCTGTTATTTCCCAGACACACCAGTGCCCCCACCTTTCCTCCTGCCTGGAACCTCACTCCCAGATTCCACACAGCTCAATCCCTTGTGCCTTAGGTCTCACCCCACATGGTGCCCCATCAGAGACACCTTTCCTTACCATCCTATCAAATATCATCCCCACTTCTCCTTGGCCAAAGTCATGAGGAATGAGAGACTATTTTTCTCCCAAGCCACCTCCCTAGAGGAGCTGCTGCCCTCTAGTTGGGGCCCCTGTGCCCCATACTCAGTCCATCTTATGAGACCCTCAATCCCATCTGTGTCCCCTACTGCAGGTGAGAAACCCTACAAATGCTCAGTGTGTGAGTCCGCATTCAACCGCAAGGACAAACTGAAGAGACACATGTTGATCCATGAGCCATTCAAGAAATACAAATGTCCCTTCTCGTGAGTACAGACTGGCGTGGGGGGAGGGGACAGATTTCTCTTCCACTGGTCGGACAGAATGATGTCAGGTGTGGGGCTGAAAGCCCTCTCTCCTTTTGTCCTAGGTTCTATCTGCCTGCTTCACTCCCCACCCTGCTTCCTGGCCTAGCCCTTACAGTGGACAAGGGGGTTTCTTGTGCTCAAGGCCAGTAGAGCGACTGGCTAGAGGGTCCCGAACTTGTCAATCAACCCCTGACCTGTGGTTTTGGGTTCTAGGACACACACTGGCTGCAGTAAGGAGTTCAACCGACCAGATAAGCTGAAGGCTCATATCCTTTCCCACTCTGGTAAGTAGCTTGTAGACCTGCCAGGAAGGTCTGGTTCAGCTCAAGCCCCCTGGAGCAGGCCCACCATAAGAGCAGACACGTACAGTAAGGCTTATTATCCTGCCTGAGGTACACTTAAGCCAACACACCGCCCTCATGTGAGCCATGAGCCAGGCCAGTGTTAGGGTCCTTGGAAGGCACAGAGAGAGGTGAGTCAGATTTAGTCCCCCAGGTGGAGGGGGATGTTCTCCTGAGAGGAGGCAACAGAAATTGCGATGAAGGTGTAGATCAGCTATAGAGGGAGATCAGATTCTGACTGTTTAAGACCTGGCCAGGAAGGTCCCTTGGTCTCCTTGGCAGAGGAGGGCAGCTGGAGCGTAGAGGAGGGATCTCCAAGCCTCTCAGTTTCTAGGGGCTCCACCAAGCTTCCTCCAGGGCTGCTGCTTCCCCAGGACACCTTGGCTGACTTTCCATTTGGTCTAGGGTTTCTCAACTTTGGCATTATTGATATACTGGACCAGATAATTACTGGTCATGGGGAAGACTGCTCTGTGCCCAAAGCACTGCAGGAGATTTAGCAGTAACCCTAGCCTCTATCCACCGGATGTCAGTGGCACAAGTCAAAGTGCCACTTAAATGGAGGCTTAAAATCTCCCCTGATTAAGAACCACTGGTTTACAGAAAGGATTTAGTGGCTAGAGAAAGTTCAAAACTGGGAGAGTCAATCGAGGACTTAGAGACAGAAGGCCTGGGTTTAAGTCTTGGCACTACTACTATGTTGCTGGGCAGCCCCAGGCAGGTCATTGCCCCGCCCTGAGCCTCCATCCCAGGGAAGCTGTGGGAGCTGTGGACCAGGCTGTGTGGGGTGGAGCTGATTTCAAGTGGACATGGAGGCACCAGCAATTCGTTCAATTTTGAGACCCAACCATGTATCAGGGACTGGGGTGTTCTAGGAGATCAGGCCAGCAGAACCCTTGGGTTCAGAACCCATGGTCCATTTCAGGAAAGCGAGTATGGCTGGCACAGAGCGAGTGGCTGGGAGAAGGTGGGAAATGAGACCGAAGGGAGTATGACCCAGTTCAGGCAGCTGTTTCTGAGGCCAAGTGAGACTGGGTTTCATTTCAAGTGCAGAGGGACCATTGACGTCAGTGAGGGTCTGAGCGCCACTCATTGACTTCCCCTCATTCCCCAGGCATGAAGCTCCACAAGTGTGCCCTGTGCAGCAAGTCCTTCAGCCGCCGCGCCCACCTCGCTGAGCACCAGCGTGCCCACACTGGCAACTACAAGTTCCGCTGTGCTGGCTGTGCCAAGGGCTTTTCCCGCCACAAATACCTCAAGGATCACCGCTGCCGTCTTGGCCCCCAAAAGGACAAGGACCTGCAAACCCGGAGGGCCCCCCGGAGGAGGGCAGCTCCCCGCAGTGGCAGCACTGGTGGGCGCAAGGTGGTGACCCCCCTCCCTGACCCTTTGGGACTTGAGGAGCTGAAGGACGCAGGGGCTGGACCAGTGCCAGAGGCTGCCCCTGGCAAGCAACCCTTCTCAGAGTCAGATGCTGTGCTGTCCATCGTGGTGGGTGGCACAGTGGGGGGTGAACCTGAGCTGGTAGTGCCTGGGCATGCTGAGGCCTTGGGCTCCAACCTGGCGCTAGCAGAGCTGCAGGCTGGTACTGAGGGCCCGTGTGCCATGCTCGCTGTGCCCGTCTATATCCAGGCCTCCGAGTGATAGACTCTTGCTGTTTGGGTCCACAACCTGGCCTGATGTTCACCTTGGATCCGGGGCCCCTTGGGGCAGACTAGAGATCCTTCCCAATGGAAGCAAGCCCTCAGCTGTGTCCCCTTTCCTGCTGGAAAGTCCTACAATATTCTGGGACCTGGGGCAGGGCTGCCTATGGCTTCCCGGCACCAGCAATGGCAAGAGAGATGGTTGAGGCTGAGAGGCCCGGGTTCTGGCTGGTACAGGCTGGTGATCCGGCCCTCTGAGACAGGAGACAAGGCAGTACTGCCCACCCCATGGAGCTGCCTCTGGGTAGCCTCTGATGAAGCTGTTCTTCAGGACAACTGACATAGTAGGAACCATTTTCTGCTGAACTTTTTCACGTCTGGTTCCTCACAGCATCCCCAGATGACCCTGTGATGTAGGCATTTAGGATGCACTCAAGTGTCAGGGTTACGAATGCAGCTAACACCCAGATCTGGCTTCAAATCCAAGTGCTGCCACTCACTTGCTGTGTGACCTTGGGTAAGTCACTTCACCTCTCTGTGCCCCATGTTCCTCATCTGTACAGTGGGACTTATGACAGTACTACCTCATAGGGCTGTCATGGGATCCAGTCTGATGAAATACACAAAGGGCTGGATATAGTGCTGGCACTCAGCATGCCCAATAAATGTTTTTATCAGGCAGGAGCTTTGGCAGTTTCTTTCTTAGCTCCTGGGTGGCAGCAGCACTCCCCTCACCAAAGTGAAAACTGAGGGGAGGCACCAGGGGTCCTGTGGTCCCTTTGTACACAAAAGCTGTGCTGCCCATTACCTATGGATAGGTATGGTGTTGCCAGAACGATTCAGAATATGGCCCCATGGAAACACCCAGGAGGAGGTGCTTATATTCACTTTTGAAAATGCAGGATCACGGGCCTAGCCACAAGTCTCTGAAATCAGAAACTCTAGCCGAGCCAGAGGTCCATCTAGAGCAGGCTTCGAGCAGGTCATAGATGCCCCCACTTCAGCATTCCCTTCCTTTGCCCAATAGTCCAGAGCCAAGCAAACTAGGCAGGAAGGGAATAAAGGGAACTTGATCCACAGGTCCTTCTTTAGCTTTTTAACCACCCCACTGGGGCAGTGTGCCTCAGTTACAGGAGAGGAAGCTGAGGTTTAAGAGGAGATGGGGTGGAACACAGCAGAGCTGTCTGCCCCAGCTAGATGACTGAATGTCTTGGATGGCTGTCCTGTCCCTCAGATGTGTGCTGGGGCCCAAGGCTAGAGCTCAGAGCAAGCATGTGTCCCTGCATTGTCAGGGGCATATGGTGCCACAGGAGGGGCGTGAGGGGCTGTGCACAGCTAAGAGCTGAGGCTGTAAGTGTATTGCTGGTGGGCCTGATAGAGGCAGGAAGCCAGCTGCAGGAGGTGCCCTGTGAGCAGGGCCTTAACTGAGAGTTTTGATGGATGTATAGATAGAGGGAGGCCAGTGCCAGTGCCAGTTACAGCAAGGCATGAGAGAAGATGTTGAGGAGCGAATGTCCTCTTCTGGACCTGGTGAATGGTCCAGCATGCCAGAGATTTGCGGGGAGTGAGGAGATCATAATTCTCACTAAGATTCTTCCAACCTCGTTACAGTACCTTAGCTCCATCAGGTGAGAATTGTTATTTTGCTTATTTTACAGATGAGGAAATGGAAGCACGGAGAGGTAAAGTTTCCTGCACAAACTCATGCAGCTAGTAAGTCCCTGCGCTGGGATTCAAGCTGGGGTGGGCTGCCACCATGTGCTCTCAGCTACTTTTTTTCTGTTGAAATGTGGGTTGATGTCAAATCAGAGAGTCTTGGGTGTTGTGTTAAGGAATTTGGACTTTATTTTCTATGTAATGGAAGAGCATGGAAGGTATTTAAACATTTTTTTAAAAAAACTGTAACAGTAACATTAAAGAAAATGTTAAAAAATCACATGTCCATCCTAATATAACTCTCACATTTCTGCCTCTTTTGTCAACAGTCACTTGCACACATGATTACCAGTAACCGTGAGGACTAATGTTTGCAGGGTATTTATGTCATGGCCAGCTTGTCAGAAATGCTATGAGGTGAATCCTCTCACCGCGCCCCATCCCCCACCTCTGGCTTCCGCCCCATCTCTTGTATACATTAAAAAACAAACAAACAAACAAACCCTCCAGGGGCTTCCAGTATCTCCCAAAATGAAATCTAAAGTTTCCCTATAGGCTCTGAGGTTCTACATGATGCAGCCCTCATCCCCCTCTGCTCCTTTCTTTCCCTCTGCACCAGCCACACCTGCCCTCTTGCTCTTCCATCTCAGTAGCTCATCAATAGCTTATTCCTCTGTCTAGAATGCTTTCCCCCCAGCTATTCCTATGACTGGCTCCTTCCCTCTACTTCCTTTGTCCAAAAAGTAACTTTGTTACAGGGCAGGGAGAGGGGCAGGGAGAGGGGCAGCGAGATCCTGCCAACCTGCCTGCTCTAAACTGGTTCTGCCATCTGCCACATCAACACAAAACATATGAGACTTTAATGGAAAGGAACTTTAATACAATTAGGAAACAATACAGGAAGGGCAAAAAAATCTAGTTTCTAAATCAAGCACCCAAAGTTACCCATCCCCTCGTGGGTAAAACTCTATCCAAATGGGATTGGCCCAGAGCAAGGCCCCAAAGCCTGCCACAAGTCTAAAGCATCTTCCAGTGGGGACCCACAGAAAAGGGTCACAAACAACCAGCAAGTCTGGAGGGGAAAGTGCAAAACCAAAATCAAGACAAAAACCGCAATTGTCACCTTCCCATGGGTCTCTCACCCACATTTGTGTCAACGAGTCCATGACTAAAAGGCAAGTGTAGTTTCTTCACATGTCTCTAGGCTCCACGCGCCTCCTCCAGGTCTCCTGGCTCCATCCTGCTTCCTTCCTTCCTCAGTCTCCTCTGTAGCTTCTTCTCTTCCTGCTCAGCGACACCCTCCATTTGGGTGGGGCAGGGAACCTGGAACCTCCCCCTTTTCTGGGGACCACCCTGGTACAATTTCCTTAGAAAGGCCTTTCCTGGCCAATCTTCAAAATAGCCTACCCACTCTTGTCATTCTCTAGTCTCTACCCTGCTTCATTTTTATCCATCAACCTTGACATTATATTGGACATTTCTTTATTGTCTATTCCCCTCATGAGAAACAAAAGGTCGACACGGATGAGGACTTGTATTTGTCTTGTTCACTGACATCCATCTACAGAGCCTAGAACTTCACAGCAAACAATCGATATTTGTTGCGTGAATGTACAACAGCACTTTGAGTAAATAAGACCCACTCTACCCGTCCCCGCCTCCCATTCCACTGGCCATGGGTGAGTTCCCCCGCTAAGAATCCGCTGTCTAAGTACACAGATGATTGACTTAAAGTCCTGGGAGTTAATATTTGATATAAAGGTTGCTTTCCTTTGTCTTAAGAAGGAACAGAATATCTAGGGCAAATGATAGAGGTGGTAGCTTAGAAGTCTCAGCTGACAGAGCAGGCACCCAGGAGAACCAGTTGGACCAGTTCTGTCTCCCCTGGAGAGGAGGGAGTGGGGGTGGCCACTGCAGGTGCTCCCAACCCCCAGGCTGCCAACATGTGATCCTTATGGATTCTTTGGATCTGAATGGTGGTGGTGGCGGTCAGGGAGGCTAGTAGATTTCACCTTGCAGTGGGGGGTGACCCCCTGCTCACCAAGGATAGCTGGTGTATAGTCAGGCATAGAATCCTGAGGCAGGAGGCCCACACCCAACCTCATGACCATGGGCCCTTTATAGCGTCACAGAATAAATGGAGACCCACAGAGGGAAATGGTCTTATCCAATGTCTCATCATGGCAAGGCTGAATCCAGATCTGGCTCTCCTGCTTCCCAGGTCATTGTTACCTTAGACCATTCATTCATTCACCTGACAAATATTTATTGAAAATCTGAACATGCCAGACATAGGCAGTGGCGATTCATGGTAAATAAACAAAACAGACAATGATCTATGGAACTCCAATGTGGAGGAAGCAAAAAATAAAAGAACAAGGTAAATAAGCAAATTATGTAATATGCCAGAAGTAATGAGTACTATAGGAAAAAAAAATAGAAAGTAAGGGCTGGAGAGCAGGAGGTAGTGGACAGGTCACAGCATATAGATAGCCTGGAAAGCATGACTAAGGATATTTTTGAGGCATAGTGCCTGTTACCTGACCTGCATATGCTCGGATGAATACACATGGAGTTATTAGTTCAAATGCAAAATCCCCTCCAGTGTACAATCTCTTCTCAGCTCCTCACTTCCCCCGTTCAGGTTCTTCTGGGCCTCTCCTACCCCATTGCTAACTTGGCCTTATTCCTTGAGGAAGGCACACCTGTGCCCAGATCCATCACACTTAACTTCATTTGTGTTTGTGTATGTCTCTCCATTCATTCATTTGGATATTGGTACTGTAACATAGTGGTAAGCAGGTTATCTTCACATTAAGAATCCCAGCTCTGCGTCTACATGCTAGGTGACCTTGGGCAAGCTGATCAATCACTCTGTTTCTCCAGGACCTCGTGTGTAACTAAATGAATGAATACATGTAAAGTGCTAATGTCAGTGCACTAGGGTCTGCCAGTACCTGTTCAGCACAGCACAGCTTCATGACACTCCTATTGCCAACTCCTACACTGTTCCTTCCCTACCTGGGGCCCTTACCCTCCTCTGTGGCCCTTCTCTCCAAGGATGGGCCCTTAGGCTCTTTTCTGATGGGAGGCTGTCCAAAACTTATTTGTAAATGAAACTGGACTCACTTCTCAAAAAAAAAAAAATTGTGCATGCATGTGCACATATATATGTATATATGCTGAAAGTTCAGTGATGGACATGTAAAAAGTATATATTTTGCATATTAACCCCTTGTTAGATATAGAATTTGCCAATATTTTCTCCCATTTTGTGGGTGGTTTTTTCACTTTCTTGATCGTGTACTTTGATGTACAGAAATTTTTTATTTTGATGAAGTCCAGTGTAGCCCATTTTTCTTTTGTTGCTGATTCTTTTGGTGTCATATACAAAAAACTTAACCTAAATGACGGTCACAAAGACTTAGAACTCTGTTTTCTTCTAAGAGTTTTGTAGTTTTATCTCTTATATTTAGGTCTTTGATCCATTTTGAGCTAATTTTTGTATATAATATGAAGTAAGAGTGCAAATTCCTTCTTTTGCATTTGAATATCCAGTTTCCCAGCACCATTTGTTAAAGAGAGGATTCTTTTCCCACTAATGGTCTTGGCACGCTTGTTGAAAATCAATTGACCATAGATGTATGAGTTTACTTCTGGATTCTCAATTCTATCCCATTGATCTATGCCACATTGTTTTGTTACTGTAGCTTTGTTACTATGCTTGATACCAGGAAGTGTGAGTCCTCCAACTTTGTTTTGGCTATTCAATTCCATATGAATTATAAAATTAGCATGTCCGTTTTTGTAAAAAAGGACTTTGATGGGATTTATATTGAACTCGTAGATCAGTTTGGCAAGTGTTACCTTCTTGGCATTAATAAGATTTCCAATCCATGCACATGGGATGTTTTTCCATTCATTTAGGTCTTCTTTATTTTTTTCCAACAAAATTTTGTACTTTTCAGTGTACAAGTCTTACATTTCCTCAGTTAAATTTTTTCCCAGGTAATATGGTTATATACTCTTTTTGATGCTATTGTATTGTACTTGGAATTGTTTTCTTAATCAGATTGTTCTTTACTAATTTATAAAAATACATCTGATTTTTGTGCACTGATCTTGTATCCTACAATGTGGCTTAACTCATTCTTAATCCAAATAGGTTTTTTTGGTTAATTCCTTAGGATTTTCTATATAGAATACCATAGTATCTGAAAATAGATGTAATTTTACTTTTTTCAATTGGGAACATTTTTTCTTTTCTTTTCTTTTTCTTTTTTTTTTTTACTTAATTCCTGGCTAGATCTTCCAATGCAATATTGAATACGAATGATTAAAAGTAGGTTTCCTTTGTCTTATTACTGATTTTAGAGGAAAAGTTCTCTGTCTTTTACCATGCACTATGATGTTATCTTTGGGTTTTTCAGAGATGCTCTGTATTAAGTTAGTAGTCCTCTTTTCTTTCTAGTTTGTTGAGTGCTTTTTATCAGAGAAGAGTGTTGAATGTACTCTACCTGGGTTTTACAACTAACAATCAGCAAAATTCTTTGTATCTCATTTGGTATAATTATGTGAGACCAAGTTTCATAAGAAATTTTATTATGGGCTTCCCTGGTGGTGCAAGGGGTTAAGCATCAGCACTGTGACGCTGTCCACAGCTACTGCAGCATGAGTTTGATCCCAGGCCAGGGAGGTGACCCACAAGGTGCAGCAGATCTCTCCTGTCTCGCCCGCTGCTCCCCTCAGCAGTGTATTTCAGTCAGTCCGCCTGTTTTGCTCCCCACTCTATCTCTGGTGAATCCTCTCACACACACCCCCCGCCCCCCACACACACACCTCTGGCCTACACCACAGCTCTTGTATAAATAAATAATGTCTTTTTTTAAAAAAGAATTTTTATTATTCACAATTCAAAACCTATTCATTGTAGGTTTTATTAAAATTCAGCTTTTCTTGACTTGATAACCTTTTTAAAGAAGGTTACAAAGGTTATATATGGCTGGGAGTCTAACCGTGTGATCTTAGGCAATTGCTGCTTCTGCGGGTCTGAGTTTCCACAAGTGTAAAATGGGGACCACACAGTAATGCTTGTTTCATGGGGATTTGGTGGATGGAGATAAGATGGAATTTTGTATGCAAAAGTACTTTGCAAGGAAATCAAAACTATATGCTTCTGTTGCTGATCTTACCAGAGATATTTTTAAAATTCTGGTGAAACATGTGTTTGATAAAGTATGCAAAGGGCATTGATCTTAAGTATAAATATGAATAAATTTATACACCCATGTGAACATGGGTGGATCTTCCTAATCTGTCCAGCACCCCACAAATGGCCTTCTTGCCTGTTCTGAACCACCCTCTGGAGGTAACTACTGCTCTGACTCCTA